AAAGAAAGAACTTCGCAAGATTAGCTGCTAGTAAACGTGTTCTTCAATTCAGGTTCTGCTTTCAAAGATTATCTCTTAGAACGTGAAAAGTGTCATCAGTTCATTGTCATAGTACTCATTGTTTTTCCTACATTTTTTGTTTTCCCTTGTCCCACTAAGATAAATAAGTTTACAAATCCTAAAATAATTCCAAACAACCATTTTTCTCTCTTTATCCCATGGAGTAATCCACAGAGGTTTAGACATAATTTCTTGTCAGACTTTTGTGAGTCATCTTATTATGATGCAATGCTTGGCTCATCCCCACCCCAAGCTGAAAGAGCTTCAAAAGACCTAGATTGCCTGAGCTGTTTAGATCATCTGTAAACATATTTTCCCCTTGACTATATGTGCATCCATTTAATTCATAGACCTATACTCAAGTGTTTCCATTGTATAAACGTTTATATATTATTCTATGCGTCAAATGTATGTAGGAAACGCTTATGTGCAACAGGACACAATGCTACATCTAAAAATGCTAAAATGAGTAGGACTGGGACACAATGGCCAGTGAGGCTGGGAGAAATGCTGTATAAAGACAGTGTCCTACATACACTGGACCTTCAATAAGTACCTGTACACTGTAGTGCCTGGCTTCGAAAACTAGAAATAAGTAGGTAGTTATCATGGTCTGATCATAGGCATTTATCATGTTATTCGAGTTAATCATTAGAAAAATACATACTGAGCACTTTAAATATAACCTAAAAGTGCATATACGAAAGATTCTAACAAGTCTCATGCTCAAGGACCTTTCATTCAGCTGGGGAGACAGTATCTAGTATCGTTAAATGTAGAACCAATGTGTAGTATGATTACAACAGTAAACAACACAAGGGATAATATAGTTGCCATGAAACTGAAATGAACTTTAAGTGTAACATGCACAATCATAGGAGAAAGAGGTCACAATTGTTAGGTCCTGTGTCCTTCATTCACTGACTCACACACTTTAATTCAAGTGGTGGGGGTGGGAGGGATAGGAAAATTATTCATGTTTCTTGAATACTTATTACTTTTAGGCTTTCTACAGATATACTTTTTAAATCCATTTTTATTTATTTTAGAGAGGAAGGGAGAGAGAGAGACATAGAAACATCAATGATGAGAGAGAATCATCGATTGGCTCCCCCCTGTACTCCCCCTCCCCCGACTAGGGATTGAGCCCGCAATCCTGGCATGTGCCCTAACTGGAATCGAACAGTGACCTCCTGGTTCATAGATCAACGCTCAGCCATTGAGCCAAACCAGCTGGACACCGATATTTTTTTTTCACTTGATCTCATTTCCCCTGCACAACTATATATATTCAATGAAATCATATCTATTTTATAGATAAGGAAATGGAAGCAAGACTTAGTCATTTACCTGCCAAGAGAGGACTATAAATAAGTGATGAAGTTGGACTCAAACCCAAGTCTATGTGTCTCAAACCCTGCCCTTAACCAGACCACACTCCTCCCTAAAAACTTTTGGTGAGAATAGAAGAAGATACTAAACATATCATGAGAATAATCAACAGGTTGCCAGGTTAGCCATGAACATAGATGCTGCCTGATCAGTATCACAGTAAATAAATGGTACATCTTATTTCTTTTCTACAGAACCTGCAGGATTTTGATGCCATTTTTAAATGTAGGGGACTCTGAGACAATTTACAGAACCGGTAGCTGGATGCAAAGATGTGCCCATTTGTAGACCTTGTAATGAGCGCCCTTTTACATCCCACACCTGCCTATTTGCTTTGTGCTTATATAACAGACTGAAAATAAATGAGTATTTCCATTTGTTTGGATTCATCCTTTAAAGTGTGCCTTCCCTTGAAAAGAAAGATGTGTTTTCTTAGCATGTGTAGTGTAACATGCTTTGCACTTAGTGGTTGTTCAATAAATATTTGAGATTGGCTGAGTAGGTAAAAGTGATGGTCCCTTGAGTTACCTTCTTTCAAGTCAAAACCATTGTACTCTTTCCAATCAAACAGAACACAAAGGTGTTCCGTCACCAAAAGCCACTTAATTTGAAATTCCAAACATTTTTTGGTAGCACCTTAGTCTCTGTCTAGGATGCCTTGCCCAGAGTCGTTCAGTGGTTCAACTGTTTTCTGTCATGTTACAATATTCAACACTACATTATCAAAGTGATCAATCAGAGGGACATTTTACAAGTCAGTCCCTAGGTTCTTTGCATTCCATCTTTTCAGCTAGCATAGAGTGATAGGCATCTGTTAAGATAACTAGTTCAAAAGCTGAGAAAACTTTGGCACAAAAAGAGGAAATATGAGCTAGGGCACTCAGCGGCCAATGAGTAGAATGGCCCCATGGCATTCACACAGTTCATGGATGAGGAGACAAGAAGAAATCCTAAGTCCTAAGGGTGGATGGGGGCAACCTCTCCTGTGGCTCCATGCGCGGTCCTCATCTAACCAGAACCTTGGCTGAGGTCTAGGAAGCACCCCGTAATGAGCTGGTGTGGGCTCATGGACACGTGCGGGGACTGGCCCTGGAAAGAACGCAACCTCGCATGGCCTCTGAGTAGCAAGAGGAGCCCTGCTACCTCCTGAGGAAGAAGAGATTTTGGAGGTAAAGCAGGTAAAGAAAATCCCAGGAGATATGATGAACAGAAAAGATCATCAAGGTCTGAAGGAGCAGTTCCTAGGATCTGTCTGGATTCATTGAAACGGTCAAGAAACTCAGTCCTCGTTCAGGAAGAGCCGGGCACAGTAAAGCAAAAAATCCTTCATACTCCTGAGAACAAACAGTAAAATTACTTATTGCCCACCTCCATCCCAAGAAAACTACAAGGTCAAGAAAAACAAAAAAAAAGCTATGTGCTCACTTGGGCACAATCACAAACATATAAGTGTTAGGGTACTAGTATATTGAAAAAGATGATTGCCAGTTTCTTTCTTTTTTGAGCTTGGCTTTTCCCTTGACAGTGTTACATCAAATGTATTTTTTAAAAATATCCATTTTATTGATTTCAGAGAGGAAGGGAGAGGGAGATAGAATCATCAATGATGAGTGAGAATTATTGATTGACTATCCCTTGAATCCCCCCTACTGGGGACCAACCCAAAACCCAGACATGTGCCCTGACCTGGAATTGAACTGTGACCTCATAGTTCATAGGTCGACGTTCAACCACTGAGCCACGCTGGTCAGGCACATTAAAAGTCTTATCTTTGAGCCTGTATTTACCTTGCTGAAAGAGATCATTATGCTAAGAAAATATTCTATTCTATTGGTATTATTTCTTTAAGTAACTATTAAGACCATTTTTATAAATGGATATAACTAACTCATAGACTGGCAGCTTCTTTTGAAGTTTTCCCTGTCCTCTTTTCTGAACTTATTCTAATCTCTGACTGGAACTTGTGAATATCTGTCTAGAATTGATGAGGTGTCCCCATCTGGGTCCCAATCAGCTCAACATCAGAGACTGTCATGCTGAGGAGCTCAGTGTCACTGATGTAGGTAAAAATCACAATCTAAAAGCTCACAGGCTCCCTCTAAAGATTCCCTATACACAGAGCTGAGATTTTAGGAGGGAAATGTTAAAGGAAAGTAATTACTAGAATAATAAGTTATACATGTGGTTAAAACACCCGATGTACTCAAAGTAGTTAGTTTGAAACATAATATGCCAGAGGCTTCCCCTGAATGTCCTCAAGCCTGCCTGTCCCTCTCTGCCTCCAGAAAGGGTAGAATTTGCCCCAACATATTTTGTACCTCAGCAGAAATTCTTTCATCCAGCTATTTCAGTGTATTTATAAATGCAAATGAATAAGCCTCAGCATCACTTCTGTCCACAGGGATGGTTCATTTAAGTAACACGGGGATTTATGTAACTGGCCTATTCAGGGTCACCTGAGAAGTCCTTTGTGTCCTCTGGAAATGGATATTCAAGATGTAAAAATACCTGTAGCTGGACCCAAATTTACTGCATCCTTATCAAGTACCATTGGAGGAACACACCATCTCCTTTAATCTTTACAGCAAGGCTCCAACAGTGGCCTTTCCTCAGCCTCACTGAGTACACACATACCTGGAAACCAAAACTTCAGCCCTCCTCGGTCCTATCTTATCTGCCCCAAAAGCTGAGTTTTTGAAGATCTTTTTATGAATCACTTTGATGAAAGAAGTAGTTGGCCATATTTTCTTTTGTTCCCCCAAACTCTTCTGTTAATCCAGTGAAAAAACATTTATTAAATATTTGTTTTGTTGCCACTCACTGTGCTAGACACAGGAAACACTAGTCATGCTCCTCCCTTCATGGGAAGGACTGACAGTAAACAAGAATCAGCCACACTGTGGTCAGTGCTATGAAGACGACAACCCTGACCAGCTGGGTGAGGAAGGTAGGAATGGATGGATCAGGGACATCCTCTCTAAGCAGGTGACATCTGAACTGATGCCTAGAGCATGAGAATCAGTCAGACTTTTCCTTTGTATTTGTGCACGTGCATCTTACAGATTTTCATTTCTAATGAAGTAAATAGTAATATTTAAATCTTACATAAACAAAAAGCTCTTTGTGGGTTGTCTTTTTGTTTTTCCCAGAGTATAAGATGATGAGACCAAAAACTTAGAAAATCACTGTAGTTTATCCCCAGCCGTGTTTGGTCCGTTTCCTGAAATGACCTCATAAGGCACCATTGTGATGAAATTGCAAACCACATCCCAGCTGTCATTGGTCCATTTTTTGCTCTGACCTCACAAGGTGCCATTGTGAGGGAATTGCAAACCACGCCCCAGCCGTCATTGGTCCATTTCTTGTTCTGAACTCATAAGGCACCACTGTGATGGAATTTCAAACCACTCCTATATAAGACCCTGAGCAAGCGCAGGTTTTTGTCCGTTATAGCCCAGGAAGCTGATTTTGGTGACCTGTTGGACTTGGACTCCTTAGCTTGTTTTGGCTATTTTTCTTTTTCTTTTTGTTCTCTGATTTACGGTGCCATGTTTAATATCTGTTCATCTCATTCATCCCACAGGGAACACTACATCGGAGAGTATCTGCTCCTCAAAACCATCAAAAAGGGGCCGTCTTCGGAGGTGCGTTGGGCTCAGCACATACTAACCGGGGCACATGTGGTCATAAAGGCTATTAGGCGGAAGGGCATATCTAGATTTTTTGAGGAAGTGCACTGCTTCAAAAGGGTGAGTCACCCCAACATAACCAAACTCTTTGAGGTGCTTGTCACCCCTGACAAGTATTTTTTAGTAATGGAGCACGTTGGGGGAGGAAACCTCCTAGAATACCTGGAGGAAAACGGCGCAATGGACGAGGGAGAAGCCCGCACCATGTTCCGGCAGGTAGTATCCGCGGTCCAACACTGCCACCAGAAAGGCGTGATCCACAGGGACCTGACACCAGACAACATCCTCATAGAGGTTGATGACACTATCAAGTTATCCGACTTTCATTTTAGCACGCAGGTGAGAGAAGATACGCAGTACACCTTCTGTGGCTCCATAGATTATTCGGCCCCAGAAATTTTAAGGAGGAACATCTATGATGGCCGAAAAGTGGACGTGTGGAGTTTGGGGGTATTATTATACAAGATACTAACAGGGGTGACACCGTTTGCGGGGGACAACATTGCTGAGGTGAAGAGTCAGATACTGAGTGGAAACTACCAGGTACCAAGCTTTATGTCAGGGGGGTTCAAAGACTTCTAAGAAAATTACTCACTGTAGACCCTAACAAGAGACCAACCATGGAAGATGTGATGAAAGACCCGTGGGTCAACAAGGGCCACAAGAAAATTCTGAAGCCATACAGGGAGCCGCCAAGGGGTGAGTTGGACCCGCAAATAATGAAAACGATGCTTAGCCTCGGCTGTATACCCGACTACATCCAAGAATCACTAGCACAAAGAAAATTCGATCATTTGATGGGCACATACCTGATCCTCAGAACGATGAAAACAAAGATGCCAGGCCGCAAAATCAGGGTAAAGCCTTTC